CGCCGCTGCGGACGCCGGGTATTTCGGGCCGGCGCCGTAACGCGCGACCCGGCGCAGGCCGTGACTCAGCCGGCTGGTCGATGAGGGCGGCGGCGGCGGCGCGACGGGCGAACAGCCGAGATCGGCGCGTCACCCGGAGGGACGCACGCGTGGAACGAAACGGAGGCGGGACGACAGCGAAAAGAAGGCAGGGACGGCAGGCAGGGAACAAGACAGAGCGAACAAGACAGGAAACGCCGGGCGGGCTGTGGGCGAGGCAAGGGTATGCGACGGCCAAGGACGGAAGACCGTCCTGACGGTGTGACGGTGTACCTGACGGTAGACGGTGTGCCCGTCCTGACGTAGACGGTGTGCCCGTCCTGACGTAGACGGTGTGCCAGGGGAGCGTGGAAACCCGCACAGTACGGGACAGCGCAGGCTCGAAATCCGCGGCGGGCGGAACAACGGAGCCAGAGCGGACACGCTAGAACATGATGCTGGCGGGACGGCCAGGCCAAACCACACGGCAGACGCGGAAGAGGCCGGCGGGTCCGACGGGAAGAGACGCGCGGCACCCGCGGCCGGCGGGCTCGTCTCGTCCGCCCGCAGCCGACGCGGCCTCGACCGGCGCACGCTAACGACACTCAGACAGAGCTTACCCGTCCGGTTCGCCGACGCCGGCCTCGCCAGACGGCCATGTCTCAGGCCGCGGCCCGCTCCGGGCGGCGGCAGGGGAGGGGGACCTGGCGACAGCCACCCCCGGTGAAGGGACGGCCCGCGAAAGGTCGCACGGGTGCGACGGTCCTCAGCGCAGAGCCCGGCCAGCACGGGTGCGGCAGACTGGGTCAGGCGGCCCAGCGCGGCCGGCGCCGGGGACTGTTTTAGTGCGGGACTGGCGGCGTCGATCGGTCGGGCGGCGTCGGACGGTTTACCTGACACCGTCAGTGACACCTGACATCTGACACCGTCCGTGAGTTCACCATGGAGTGCGGGACTGGCGGCGTCGATCGGTCGGGAGGTGTCGGACAGTTTACCTGACGTCAGTGACACCTGACACCTGACACCGTCAATGAGTTCACCATGGACGTAGGAGTGGCGGCGCCCGGCCGGCCGTCCTCGTGACCTGGCACGGCAGGCGGCCGCGGACGATCAATGAGCGATGCAGCGGCGTCGCATCGACCAGCGCGGAAGAGACGGCTCCGCCCCGCCCCGCCCGCTAAAATTAGCGCCGCCGGGCAGGCACGGACGGGGCGCGTGACGGGCGGCCGCGGCTCATCCGTCATCGCCGTGTCGGGTTCGGCCGTCGTCGCCGGTCCGGTCCGGTGACGGACGGGCGCCGGCGGCGGACGGCGGGCGCGCCCGCTGCGCAGCGGCCAGCCGCCCGGCGGTCACGAGAGCGAGACGCCGTATTCTTAGCCGACGGCGGCGACGGCGGCGCGCCGCGCGAGGCCGCCGGGGGAGCTGGGCGGCCGCGATCCGCCGCCGACCCGGTCGGTGCTTCACGAGCCGGCTCAGCCGAGCCAAGCCGGCCCACGGTCCAGTCGTCCTCACGCAACTCATCCGCAGCTTATGCGCAGGATGACGCATCATCGTCCGCATCCCTGGACGATGGGGGGGGGGGGGCGGGGCCCGCGGGCGCCGGCCGGCCCGCGTCCGTCGACACCCCCGGCCCGGAGAGACTGGGCACCGCCGGTCGGCGCGGCCGGCAGTCCCACCGACAGACGTCGCTCGCAGACCCGTCCGACACGAGACACGCGAGCGGTGGGGGAGCGCAGTCGATCGAACTTCGACTCCGGCCGCGTCGCATCAACAGGGTTGCGTGGCACTGGCGGCCTGGCCTACGTGACACTGTCCAGCGCTCCCATGACCTCCACGGTCGTACGGGCGCGGTCTAAGACACGTGGTCGCGCTTTCTCGGGTGTTTCGTAACGCCCGATATGTAGGACACCTAGTGTGGCAGGACAGGAGCGTGGAGATGGAAAATATACGATATAGTTGATCTCTCGTGAAGGAATGGTGGTTAGGGACAAAATCCATACATGAGAGCAGATGTAACAGGGTGTTTGCATGTATACCGATACCTGCACGGCGCTTGTATCAGTGTGCGACAGCTCAAGTTTTTGGTGGAAATTTACAAGTTTCACAGTAAATTTCAGGCTCTCAGTCTAGGACTTTTCTCGTAATATTCATATCCCATTCCTGAAAAGACAATGTAATTTATCGCTGGTTTTAGTGCCTTTCGAGACTGGACTAAGACATAGCGGTCTCCATGCCACATTCTGGCCGGACGCTTTCGACAGACGCTGCTTGCAGTGCACCGGCACCCACGTGCATGGAAAACAACAACCATAACCTCGCCATTGGTCTCTGACAGCGGACGTGACGCAGACCACCTCAACCAGACATCGACTCCGCCAATCACCTCCGCCAGCCGTCCCGACCGGCCTGTGACATGGCGCGGTGGCCGGGGTGGCCGGCCGCAGCCGGATGGGGCGAGGCGCCCCGGAGCGTGTGCCCACCTCCGTCTTCGCCAGGCGCGCGCGGCGGGCGGCCGCGCGGCGCCCACCGCCGCATGGAGGCGCCGCCGGCCGGCCACACGTTCCAGTCTGGCGCGCGCCGGCCGGCTGGGCGCGTTCCGCGTCGTTGCCGGGTTTCGGCGAACGTGCGGCGCAGCAGGCATGCTATCTGAACCCATTAGCGGCCGGCCGTAAGCCTGCCACTTCGGCCGCGGCGCGACCGGCGGGGAGACGCCGCCGCCATTAATCATCGCCAGTCCGACACTAAATCACAAGCCAGACCTCTTTAAACACAGACAACCATTACGAACGCTTGACGGAGACGTACGTGGCTCGTTATGGCGCAATTTCTGATGACTTTCGCGCACATCAGTCACGTCTCTATATCGAGCTGGGCGGAGACCCTGGATTCTGGGGCCGGCACCCGGCTTGCGCCACCGCCCCTGTCGTCCGATGCCACGCTGCACCGGATAGGGCACGGACAAGGCACGCCTCGGCGCCGCTGCCTCTGCATGAGAGCCGCCGGCCGCGAGGGAGCTGACGGTGCCGGGTCTGGCTGGTTATCAGGATCGGGGAGCAGCCTGAGACTGAAGCATTCCCGCAGCGGCCGGCGAAGAACTCCACCCGGACAGCAGCGGCGAACTCCCCCCGGTCAAGCTCGCCCAGCCAACTCCGAGTCCAGCCAACCACCCGAGACACCATCGCGCTTCACCTGCGAACGATCCGTCGCACTCTCTCATCCACAGCGGCGGCCAACACCGGCGGTGTTGGTGCGTGCCAGCCCTTTGACACCAACTCCGCTGGGATGCACGCAAGTCACCGCGCACGCGCGCTCGCCACGCACCCCGGACGGTACCACTGCCGGGCGTCGGCACCCAGAACCAGAATGACGTGGGCTCGCCTCCCTGCGACCCTCGTCCGATCGCCCGAGGCGCAGGACGGGCCCAGGCGAGGCCTCGGCTTCCGCAGCTGCGCGGGGCTTCGGTCCGAGCCGAGACGGCCGCGTCGGTCTAATTAGGCTTCTGTGAGCAGTGGTTGGGAATGATCTTGCTTGATTGCTTCCGCAAGTTCGGCATGCATAATTTCGGGACTTAAATGAGCGTGGCTTCTCGAAAACAGCGCTCTCCTGGCAAGAGTCCGTCAGGGGCAGAAGCGACGTGTTAATCCATGTCCGCACACATCGCCTGGTTCGTAATCACTGTACAATACCGCGCTCACCCACTCCCCTGTCCTCCGTTCCCACAGGGCACAGTCGAGGAGCGTCGGGGCACCTGGCCGACGTGTGCAGAATGCGGGCTCGCCTCCCGGAATCCCACTTATGCACCCCAAAACACGGTCACTGCACAGCCCGCCCGGACGGTCAAGCTGGCACGGGTCGGCCCTGTCGTGACGTTGCGTGGACGTGAGAGCCCATCAGCACTGCTTCGCAGACAGGACGAGCCGAAACATATTAGCTTGACGGAAATTGTTCTACTGTGGTGGTGTCAGGGCATTTCCAACACGCTGCGCCTACCGTGAACTCGGATCCAAGACATTCCTGCAAAACACGCTGTCAGGCTTAAGGAGCGCGCTCGCACCGTGTCCTGGCTGTCACGACAGAGACCGAGGCAGGAGCAGGAGCAGGATCAGGAGCAGGCAGGCATCGAGCCGTCCGTGTCAGCAGGTCAGGGCCGCCGTCGGACGCAGCCACCGGCGCTGCGCATCTGCACAATGCATGGATGAGACACGAGCGGGCACGCTGATCGGCTGTCTGGCGGCGCGGCTCCGTCGCGTCTGACGTCAGCGCTCCTAATCCGACTCTCGTAAACATACTGCAACGGCCAGCCACGAGCAGGCGCAAAAACCTGACGTCACACGATCTGCTTCATATTTATAGCCGCCAGAGTGTGGGACAGGTGACCCTGAACACACGATGTGGGCCAGGAGGGTTATTCCAGGGCTGGTAAGCGTTTTCGACCATCAGTTTATCCACGCACAGAAAGTGCTGGTTTACCTCCCGACCGTTCCAGACTAGCTGGCCGCCGCCTGCCCCAGCCCGGTACTCACGTATGGCGACGGCTGCCAGCATGACGCTGCCCACGGCCACGGCGCTGATCTCGGCCGTGCTGAGGGGGTCGGCCGGCGCCGGCTCCGAGCCGCGCGCCTCGCGCCGCACCGTGTCGGCCGAGGGCGCGGCCGGCGGCGGCGAGGGCGACCGGAGCCCGCCGGGCACCGCGGGGCCACCGCCGGACGGCACGGCGCCCGCGTCCGCCACGGAGGCCGGCGCCTCGGCCGGAGCGACCAGCGGCGGCGCCGCCCCGTCCGCCGGAGCACCGCCCGCGCCGCCAGCGCCGGCCGGCGGCGGCGAGTCGGCTACACCGCCAGCCACACTGTCTCCCTCACTGTCCGCTGCACTGTCTACTTCACTGTCCGCTGGGCTGTTCGCCGCACTGTCTGCTGCAGTGCCTGGCGCGCCGTCTCCTGCGGCCTTCGCTCCACTGTTCACTGGGATGTTCTCTCCACTGTTCACTCCACTGCTGGCTCCAATGTCAGCTGCACCCTGCGCCTGAGGCCCGCCACCGCCGCTGTGCGGCCCGTCCCTGTCCCTGACCGGCACCGGGTCTCGGACCGCGCCGTCCTCCGGCTCCGTCTCCTGCCCCTCGTCCTCCACCGGGGCTTCGTCTCGTTCGCCGTCGAGCGGCAGCAGCGGCAGGGCGGCGACCGGCTGCGGCTCTGGCTCTGGCTCCTGCTCCTGCTCCCGCTCCTGCTCCTGCTCCTGCTCCTGCTCTAGCTCCGGCTCCGGCACCGGCTCGGGCACACCGCTGCCCTCCACCAGCGCGTCGGCCTCCTCCTCCGACCGCGGCTCGGTGACGCGCCGGTCGGGCAGCTCGCCGGGCGGCGCGGCCGCCGTCAGCGCGCTGCTGTACGCGATGACGACGCGGCCGCCGGTGACGCCCTGCACGCGCCGCTCCAGCCAGAGCCGGTCGGGCTGCAGCAGGCGGCGGAAGCGCAGCAGGTCGCTCCGGCGGACGGCGGCCACGCGCCGGCCGTCGCGGGTGCGCACGTACCCGCCCACCGGCGCCTCGGTCGACCTGGCGGCGCGCAGGACAAGGCGTCAGAACGGACACAGCGGCAGATAGCAGAGAGCCCCAACAAGCCGTCGCACTGCGCTGCGCGATGGCTTGGGCACTGTCGACGACATGGAATGAAAAATGGAAAAGGAAGATGTTTCGCATTCATTGTCCACGATTTTAAACTGAGTTGGACGGATTGCAATACTTTATGGTATCTATACGAATGAATCTGTATGGCGTAAGAACCAAATACCAACACGCTCTATTTCCTGAACTTGAAGCCAGTTGATGTTTGAGCTTAACATTAGGGCTTGCTTCGACTCACAGGACAATAGCCACTCAATACAGTATTCCGAGATTAATTTGAAGAACAAGTCAACGTCACGCGTAAACTGATTCCTTACTTTGTTTATAACGCCCATGCGGGCGCCTTGCCCCATTCATGTCACACTCGATCACCATTACGACGAATTGCGATTATGGAAACCGGTGATCACTATTAACCACGCATCATCGGCTTAACGAGTTAAAACGCCAATGTGACGTCAGCTTGTTAGGTGAGTGACGGCACGCACAATGAAGCGTGATGGGTCTTATCTTCGTTTTACCCGAATCTTGCTTTTTCCGTGACGCCTGGCAAAGTCGCACTGCAGAACCATAGCTACGTACGCTTTGCCATATTTTGCATATCGCCGCGTACCCACCAAAGTAATTCATTCGTTTTAAGAGTATTTTCCCGTCACTAGTCCTTTCTTTTCTCAAATGTACAAAACGTCCAAGCACAAAACGTGGCTGGGTGTTTAAGAGATTACATTTAAATGACCTCTTTTGATGTCAGACAATACCGTTTCAAAGGTATCTATGACGAGGTGTTTTGACACATTTACGAGGCTTCTTTGATCCAACGTAGCACACAAACTGTAGTCACGCCATAGACAGCCACCCATAAATTATTTGACACGAGAAACAACTACCGCTGCGCAAAACTGCCAGCATCACAACTTCAACACCGCGAATAACAAATATCTCTCGAAGGTTGCCGGCAGCTTCCGAGCCTTTTCCGTGCAGCGTATGCCGTAACTGCCTCCCCAGAGGGTTGCCGGACCGATGAGACGCGCCCGAGCCTGTGACAAGCCGCAGCCAGAACACATCACCGCCGGCAGGCTGCCATCCGGCCAGCGCGGCGCCCAGCCACTGGATCAGAGCGTGCCTCGGCCGCAACACAGCCGCCGCGGTATGTGCGGAGCGCCGGGAGCGGCAGAGGTCCGAGCCAGACGGACGCTGTCCCGGCCGGCCGGCGGCGGCGGCGGCGGCGGCGGCTGCTGTCTCGAGCCGCCCCTGTCGCTCGGCGGTGGCGCGCGCTCCGGCCGACCCGACTGACCCGACCCGGGCCGTATCAGGGCGCCCGGGCGCCGCCGCCCAGCCGCGACTTCCGTCAAGATTACACGTTTTTATCGGAGCGTAGGCCACTCGCCGTCCGATACGGACAACAGAAGGGTGACATCGTCAACGTGGGCACTCGAGTCGAGACGTCTGATTGCTCCCTTCTGACAACGGGTACCGGGGTCGGTTGCGACCCTACAGCAGCTTATTGAGATTTGGGAGCAACGAGGCCATTTTCAGGAATGGATCTGATCACACAAACACCGCCGGAGGGTCGGCTGACCGTTTGCCATTCCTTCAGTGAAACTGATCCACCAAGTCTTCCTCAGTCGGAGTGTTTGACTCGTATTTCACGGGCATGCAAATATGTGAGGCCTGGCGGGACCGGCACGACGGGCGCCGACTGTGGCATGGTGCGCGCATCAATCAGGGTCTCGACCTCCAAACATCTCCATCAACGGAACGGATCTCATGTACACATGGAAAACTACCGCCGCTGACCACCGCAAGAGCAGCCCTACCGCCGGAGCCGCCAAGCGACTTCCTCTCAGCCTGCTGGCATCGGTGCTCTACTGCGGGGGCTGGTTACATCACATGCAACTAGGAATGAACGCACGTTTAGCCCGCGCTGAGTACGCACAGCTGACAGCAATGGCTTCGCTGAATGGGCATGTCCTATCGTGAATGCCGTGCACGTAGAAAGCCGGAGTAAAATTGGAGTAGCTCCGACCCGTAATCCTAAATATCGCGAGTACAATGCGTGCAGCTTCGCGGTTTCGTCCTACGTTGCTAGGCCTCGGTCACGTATCTCCGAACCCCATCATATCAGCAAGACGAAATCGGCTTTTATGGGCGGCAGACTCTCACAGTTTGTCGGACGCACTCGTGCGCACTCATTGAGTCGCGTGCCCAGCTGAGAGCCGGGCGAAGCGCGGCATGCGCGAGTTCTGGCCGATGCCAGCTGTGCAGGGCACGACGCCTCCACAGGTGACCCGTGAGCATAGGCACGGCGTCGGCCAGTTGCGTGCGGTGCCCACCGCGTGGCCCAGTGCAGCGGGTGACTGCCACCGTCCCCGCACGTCCTCCCGGGCCGCCAGACACCGTCTCGATCCCTCCCGACTGCCGGACTCGCCGCGTGGAGGGAGGCTGGACACGCCGAGGACTCGACTTTCCACCGCGTGCGGGCGCCTCTCCCCACGGGCCCTCCGCTCTCCGGGGCCGCGGCACTCACTGGGGCGTTACGGGGGCGACGGTGGTGGTGGTGTTGGCCAACTCAGCCGACGCTACCAACATGGCTCGCGGCGTGGTCGGGCTGGCCGCGGCCGGCGTCACCGCCAGCAGCGCCAGCACTGGCAGCAGCGACAGCAGCGCAGGGAGACCAACTGCAACAGAACGGACAGAAGTGTTATCACCTGCAGCAGCAGCGACAGCAGCGGGACCGAGTGTAGCAGGACGAACAGAGGCGTCCACACCGTTGCTCTGAGCTGACGCCTGTGAACCGAACAACATAAGGCTGAGTGGTCGCAGCGCTCATGTTTGGCGAGGACACACACACGGACAGAGACACTGCGCGGGCTGGGTCGGCGGCGCGCCGCAGACCAGTCGGATGCGTGTCGGCGTCGAGTCCCGCGCCGCGCGACGACGGTGGAGGACATCGACTGGGCCGAGGCACTGCACGGCCCGCCTCGCGCTGGGGCTCCGGCGGGAGCCGCGTCACTTACGCCCGACGTGCGCCATCACCGGCGGCAGCGGCGACACTGCCACCCGGCCCGCTCGCCTACGGCTTCCGGCGGGGTCAGTCCCGTCGATAGGGCTTCGTGCGGCCCGGACCGGACCCCGCGTGCCCGCCAGCGCGCGCCAGCCACGCACAGGTCCTCCGCCGCACTGTCAGGGGTGCCGGCACCGCCCGGCAGCAGCCGCCGCCGTCACCGCCCGCCGCAGAGGGCGGTCGTGCCCCGCGGCCAACCGCCGGAAGGACGTGGGGGGGGGGGGGGGGGCGAAAGGGGTGGGAGCTGATCGCGACTGGCCGCCGCCAGCGGCCCGGAGCGCTTTGTAAGCGCTGATGCAACTTTTGACTTTTAGTTGCGCGCTGAGTGGGGCTGCTGTGCATGCCGACCCCGCTGAGAAAAGCTTGCACCTATCCGCCCCTATTGATTCCAGGTGCTCACGAACGGCAGGCGAAGTGCCCCAGCCTTCCCCTACCATCCGCCGTGCGCGCGGTCTATTGACGTCCCCAGCAGGCCAGCGGGCGAGACGGACGTGCGTGTTTTTGCAGGTCATTACAGCGTCGGCCGTCCCCAGACACCGCCGCATCAATCGAACCTGCCCGGATACGAGACTGCACGGTCCAGGAAACGGCTGACCAACAGCGCCGTCCGCCGGGTGAGTCAATCCGCCGTCTTCCCGGCATAGCGGATAACAAGCAACGCGACCTTCCGGATGTAACGGAGCCCACTGTAGCTCGCCGGGGTAACGGGCTGGGCGCAGTGTCGCGGTTCAGCTCATGGGCCGGGTGCCGGCGGCTGACCGGGCCGCGGTCAGCTGACGCCGACGGCCGGCGGGCAGCCTGCGGGGCGCCGGCTTCTCCGGCCGCGCCGGGGCGTCGGCCGGCCGCCGCTCCGGACGTCGTCGCGCCGACGCCCAGGTCAGCCGCCGTCGGAGACAGACGAATCGGCCGGGAGGTCTGGCGCCGGACCGGGACCGCGGACCAGACCAGACCAGACCAGACCCGAACAGTCCAGACCAGACCAGATCGGACCCGACCCGACCCGAACAGAACAGTCCAGACCAGACCGGATCCGAGAAGAACAGTCCAGACCAGACCAGACCAGACCGGACCCGACCAGATCCGAGCAGACGAGCCCAGACCAGACCAGACCTGATCAGATCCCAGAAGAACAGCCCAGACCAGACCAGACCAGTCAGGCACTCCAAACGCAGCCGCACCGATCGTGACAGCCGTACGGAGCCGACAGACATGACGGGCCCACAGCTGGATCACCCTCACGAATGGCATCGACCAGGGCTGTGCGCGCTTCCACCAACGAGAGTCGGAATACGACGCACATCTAAAAAAAAAAACATACGTTCATCTCCCACGGGAACGCATGCACCGAGCGCGTTGCGTTGGAATCGCACGAGCCGACAGCGAGAGGTCGAGGAGCGTCAACAAGGCGCCGCGGTGCAGTGACAAGGTATCAGCATCAACAAGGCACCGCAACACAGTGACACAGCCCGAGGGAGCATCAGCGAGACGCTGCGTCAATGAAACAGCGCGAGGAGCATCAGCGAAGCGCCACGGTACGGTGACACAACGCGAGGCGCCGCGGTACAATGACACTGCGCGAGGAGCAACAGCGAGACGCCGCGGTACAGTGACATAGCGGGAGGCGTCGCCATACAATGAAGCAACACGAAGAGCATCAGCGAAGCGCCGCGGTACAGTGACACAGCGCGAGGAGCATCAGCGAAGCGCCGCGGTGCAGTGGTACAGCGCGAGGCGCCGCGGCATAGTGACACAGCGCGAGAAGCATCAGCGAGGCGTCGCGGTACAGCGATACAGCGCGAGGAGCATCGGCGAAGGGCCGCGGCACAGTGATACAGCACGAGGAGCATCAGCGAGGCGCCGCGGTACAGCGACACATCGCGAGGAGCATCAGCGAGGCGCCGCGGCACAGCGACACAGCGAGAGGAGCATCAGCGAGGCGCCGCGGTACAGTGACACGGCGCGGCCCAGCGGCCAGCAGCGGCCCAGCAGCCCAGCGGCCAGCAGCGGTGTACTGATGGCTCGCACCGGCCGGCCGCTGGTCCGCGCCGGTGACACGCAGCCACCGCAGACTCACCGGGCCGGTCTGAGGTCATCGCCAGGAGGCCGAGTCGTCTCATCTCTCATTTCACGGGGCTCGGGCCGGCCGCTGGCCGACGCACGGCCCACGAACTGCAACCAGAACGGACGGGGTAAGCGGGGAGCCGGGCCAGGGTCCGACCACCGCAGCACACAGATCGGACGCGGGTTCGCCTGAGCGCGTGCGTGGCGACGTAGGAGTCGTAGGAGCGTGTGGGGTACTGCCAGTGCTAATGAGGCCACACAGTCGGACATCGGCACACGCAACTGGCGCAAGGTCAGGCGTAGCAGCTTGCCGCACGTGGCTCCATACCGTGACAAGGGAACACTTGTCGACACTGTCGATCGCTGCGACAGCAGGCGTTTCAACACCGATACAGCGGAGCCTCCGTTCCGGCAGCCGAACTCGCACGGCGCAGGGCCGCCAGCCCGGACGCGGTCGCACACTGCGTGCATTCGCTGCAACCGCGGCGCTGTCTGCGATGACAAGCGGACGGAGTGGGCGGGGCGGAGGGGGGGGGGGGGGAGGGGCGCTCTTCCCGTGCGGCTCCGCGCCCGGGGTCAGGTGGCAGGGGCCGAGAGCCCTGCTGTCGCGGCGCGACCAGCCGCCAGACACGCACGTCCGGACGACTACGGCGGTCAACGCTCACCGCACAGGAACTCAACACAGCAGCCGTGGGAACCCCGGCCGAACAATGGACACTTGCGTTTGTTGTGAGCAGCGTCGTGAATGGACACACGTGGGCGTAAAAACGGCGTAGAAAGGGCCACTCAGTGGCAAGAGGCTCTGAAGCCCAAGTGGTCATGATTCATCGCATGATAGCCCGTTTCCAACACACGTCGCAAACCGACTTCAAACCAGTGCTCAGTTTGATACCACGCCATGCCTTGCGAAACATGGCATGACATCGAAAGCGCCCAGCCGTGGAAACACCGTCCTTTCGCCACCAGCCCACCGCTGGAAGGAAACTGCGCACCGCAGAACACGTCACGCGCCGGCGCCGCGCGAGGTCAGACGGTTAATCCGGAGACTGCCGCGGCCCGGCTGAGTCAACTGATAAGCCTTCCGGCTGAGGCAGCGGCGCAGGCTGCCTGTACCTGGCGGCGTAGGTTCGGACCCGGTCCAGCGGCGGCGCACGGTCGAAACGACGTTCGGAATTCGGGTGCTGGAATGCAATACTGCGGGCGGGTGTGCGCCACAGGCCGCACGGACGCGCCGTTTGCCGTCCGGCCCGCGGGCGGGCGGGGCCCTCCGGCCCCACCGGGCAGCGTCTGTATAACCCCAGAGGTGTGCGGACAATCGCTCATGGATTTCGGCTAACCCTTTCGCCCGCCACGGTATGCTAATGAGCGGTCGGCGAGCGCGCGGACAGCGGCGCCGGCCGGCCCGTCCGCGGTCCGCGGCTGCCCCGCCGTCTGCCGCGCGCGCCGCGCGGCCGCGGACGGCCCTCACCGCGGCGTCGAATCCCCGGCGAGGCGACGGACGTACCGGACGGCGGCTCACGCTGTTGCACCGCAGCAGCACCACTGCCGCGGAGACGAGAGGCCGGACGGCCGCGGCGGTGACGCGTTACGCCACCACCGACCGAAGGTCGCGCAGTTGCCGCCGGAAAACACGGACCGCGCGTTACCACACCGGTGCGGTGGAAGCCCCGGTCCCGCAGGCATCCCGGTCAAGCCGTCACGCGGCGGGCCGTGACTGTCCGGCGACGGCGGCGGCGGTCGGCTCCTACGCTGAGCCGGGAGGGGGTCGTCAGTCACGGCGGGCGGCCGTGACGTCCCGGCGGGCGGCGGCGGCGGTCGGCTCCTACGCTGAGCCGGGAGGGGGTCGTCACGGCCGTCAGGTGGCAGCAGACGGCTCGGGACACGGCCGTCCGATTATAATGATAGGGTCCAGACGGCGCAGTGCCGGCGGGGCAGGGGACAGGAGACCGGGCCCGGGTGGTGGCGCGTGGGCGTCAGCCGCGAAACGCTGCCGGAGAGTGACGTCACACGCGTTCCGCAGATCCGTCAGATGATCGGGAAAACATGCGTGAGACAGCCGCCGGAACTGAGCGGTCGCTGTACCGAGCAAGGCGGAAGCTGGCTGCGGAACACCGGCCAGGAGTCGACCACGAATGCAACTGAAACTGGCTGAGCTGGCAATTTCCCCGTTCCCCCGCCGCCTCTGGGACTCGGGGCTTCAGCTGCCTCCTGTGGCACTGACAAGGGACACTGGGAGCACCTAAGCATGCCGCGCACGTGTGCGCTCTCTCCATAGGCGAGCGCAGCCCAGTTTCTCTCCCGTGTACGTTCTCCATACCGACTGCCTCCGGACGCAGGCCCGGACGCCTGGCGCTTATGATGGCTGGCCGTGTCCGTGGCCGCCGAAGCCAGCCGTCCAGCCGCCGATGGCAAGCAGACGAGCTCTGACGCCGCCGGCCGCCAGTCGGGCCCGCCCGCCCAGCCACGCGCCGGACGGTCGGCGCCGGCGTCGCGGCCGCCCTGACCTCCGGGCATGTCCCCCAGAGCCCGACTGCAGGTCCCGCCCGACAGCTGCGGCCGAGCGGGACAGACAGCTGCTCACGGCAGCCGTCCGGAAACTGCCCGGCCGGCCCAAACGCCAGTCTTCGTCAAACGAGGACGACTCGGAGCTTCTGAACTGCCGAATCAGCCCTCAGATTTTCGTTGGCGCACGCTGGACTGGCCAATATATTCGGGCCGAGATTGGTATTACAAAGTACCCGTTCAACTTCAAAAGACTCTAAAGTGATTTGGGGCTGAAACCAGATCCCTCTCTGCGATTGGCGGTTCATCGGCATACATTTCCATGCATTTGTGTATGTTAACGCTAGAAAGGGACCCACCGGCGCCATGCGCCGACGAACAGAAGCCCCAACACAAGCCTGGCCGCAGCCGCCTTTCCACGATCGGCTCGACGCCCACCCCCACCGGCACCGCGGCGCCGGGCACTTCCGACCGCCGAGGCTGCAGGGCTGGCGTCGCCGGCTTCCGACGGCTTCCGTATTCCACGTGGGCGGTGCGCGCCGGCCCGGCAGCCCACGTGCAGGCGCCGGGCGGGCCTTCCGTTGAGTCGGCACCGGGCCGGGTAGGGCCGCCGACCAGCCGGCCCGGCGTCGCGGCCGGCACAGGCGGAGCTCGATGGACGGGCGCGCTGGCTGATCGGTGCGAGCGCCAGCTGATCAGTGTGAGCGCCAACTGATCGCTGTGAGCGCCAGCTGATCGGTGTGAGCGCCAGCTGATCGGTGTGAGCGCCAGCTGATCGGTGTGAGCGCCAGCTGATCGGTGTGAGCGCCAGCTGATCGGTGTGATCGCCAGCTGATCGGTGTGAGCGCCCGGGGCGTCGTCCGCCCAGCCACCGTGCGGGGACGTGGAGAACTGGGGCACATCGCCGCCCAACGGCCTGGTGCACCAGATCGGGGTGAAAATTGTCGGAATAGCAACGGCAGTGTGGTCATGTTTCAGAGCGAAAACCCGCGTGACGGAAGTCCGCCAGACGGCGCACGCGACCGTCTAGAAGCCCGCGTGGCTCGTCAGCATTCCGCCTGCACCAATACACTCGGAACCGGAGTGGAAGTGAGGTCGGCCGGCTGAATGGGCCGGGGGGAAGTGAGCCAGCCGCCGCAGCCGCGCAGCCCCCGTCCGCCGCAGCGGGGTAACAATGGGCCGGCGCCCGCCCTGACCCAGATCCCGCGCACAGAGCCGACCCGCGGACCACGCCGGTGCCGGAGGGAGGCGACCGACGCAGGACGATAGGGCAGAGGGTGGGGCGGTCGTGTCGAGGGAAGGAGGGATCGAGCTGAACGGATAGGTCATGTCCAGTCGAGAGCTGCATCGCGTGAAGAAGTCATGACGCGTGGGGAGATGGTGTGAGCGGGAAGGTTGTTGCGAACAGAGCGGTGACATCCGACCAAGAGGTCATGCTGAATGGAGAGCTCTGAGCGAATGGGAAGGTCAGGGCAGATGAGAAGGTCAGAGGAGCTGAGAGGTCACGCTGGACGAAGACGACAGAGTGAGTGAGAAAGTCACAGCAAGTCGGTGGCCACATTGACCAGAGAGGTCGCCCTATATGAAGTCACATGGGGGGAATGCCTGCACCAAGTAGTTCATATCGAAGAGAAAGATCCCATAACGTGGAGGGGTCATGTTGGGATTCAAAAGACCCGTCCACGGGCGCCCGAAAAGTAGATCTAGTTCAGGGCTCAGCCACGAAGAGGCCGATATAACTCGTACTAGCTAAGGTCTGATCGTATTTCGAAACCACTCAAGTTATATGTTTTAGGAAATAAGTTGCATGCCTTTATTGAACTCATGCTTCATTCTTGCAATCAATAACCCAGATGTGGTGGTGGTGGCGGGGGGGGGGGGGGGAGCTCGTGCGTAAAGCCAAGATGAATGCGTAAGAGCCTCGTAACCTGAAGCATCGGGGAGGGAGCTGGCGGCCCCAAGCACCAGCCGTTGCTGCGCCACGCCACTGGACACGTCCTATCGAGCCGAGCTCAGATCCGGTGGCCGGGCTGAGATCGAATGGAGGGACTGTGTCACGTGGAGATGTTATATCGAGTGGACGGACCAGATCACGTGCAGAGGCTATACCGAAGGTAAATATCACGGCAGTCGAAGCGCCAGTGCTCAATTTAATGACGCCTGATTCGCTGATTTACATCGTACAGAGACTTCGCGAAGATAACATCATTTGTTACTGATGTCAGTAAGGGAAATACGACAACACGCGAACATTGAAACGCAGAATGCGGTAAAACCGCACCATAACGAGAGCAAGTCTTTCCGTCATCTGGGAATGCCTGGGAACATTTGGGACTTCATGTACAGGAAACTGATACCGCTACATTGCAGCCAGCACAGCCATGTGCACTTGTAGCCGCTCTTAGATTGCATAGCCGAGTGTGACCTTGTTCGTTTCCCTTCATGGAATATGCCCAGCGCACAGATGCAAGCCACAGGCCGCGAGTGACAACAGTGCACGGCGTATCTCGCCGAAAAATATCCAGGCTAAGCACTTTAAATGTGTGACGTCAATCCTCCGCAGATAGCCGCGATCCAGCACGCTCGTTTATACATTCCTACAGCTG